TAGGGTTCACTAAGTAAACAATTATATCATCTGCAAAAGACATTAATTTTGTTTCCTCATTGCCTATACTTACTCGCTCACTTTTTTTTCTTTTTCTTTTCTTATTACTACAATTAGCCTTTCCAGCACTGTATCAAAAACTAGCGGTGTTAATGGTCATCCTTGCTTAATGAAAAAGCCTCTTGTTTAACCCACTTCACAGAATGCTTACTCTTCATTTCAGACAGATACTAATTACTAATAAATAAAGGCCAATTTATGCCTATATTTTCTAGCGTTTTTATGACAGAAATGGATGTTGTATTTTGTCAAAGCTTTTCCTGCATCTATTAATACAATCATATGATTTTAATTGTTATTTTACTGAAATGGTCTATTTCTTCTACACATTTTGTAATACTGTGCCAACCTTTCATTCCTGGAGTAAATCCAACCTAGTTATAATGAAGAATTTTTTTGGATACATTTGTTACTGCTTCTTTGCTTATGTTGTATTTTAAATTTGTCCCTGGATATTCATCAGGGATATTGGTCTACAGTTTTCCTTTTAGACTTGCAGAGAGCATTTGGTAGAATCCTATCTTTTTCCTATTTTTGTGAACAGTTAAGTATAACTTTGGAATTATCTCTGAATGTTTGAGACAATCAGCTTATACACATAACTGATCCCAAGGTTTTTTCCTTTGGAAGTTCATTTATGTCTAGTTCAACTACTTCTGAGATTTAAGGCATCAGTTTTATTAGAACAGAGTTGGACAAATGAGTTTCTAGTAATTTTCTTAATTTCTTCATTTGTTGTGAATTCTCCTTATTAATTTTTGAAACTGTAATTTGTTTTCTGCTTTATTTAATATTAAATGATGCATTTGTCCATATTATTGGTTTTAAAAAACCCATCTCCTTGTTTTATTTATTAATTCAATGGGTTAAAATTTTTATTTTTAATTATGTTAATTTCTTTTTTAATTTTCAGAATTTCTCAATTGGCATTTACTGACTTTTTTAATTTGTCAATTTTTTTAGTACTTGTATTGCACGCTCAATTCACCAACCTACCCTTTCTCTCTTTTGTTAATGGAAATGTTTAGAGATCTAAATTTTCCTATGAGGAATGTTTTGGCTGCCATTCCTAAAATTTGTTATGTTCTCACATTGTTTTCATTACCTTTTACAAAATTATCTTTTTTATGATTTGTCTTCTGACCCATCAGTTCTTTAGAATTTAATCCTAAAAAACTGTCTCCAAACAATTTTTAATTCTTTCTTCAAAAACCTTTTACTGAATACAATTTTTATTACATTTTGGACCATAAAGAATGTTTAATATTTCTGTTCTTCCACATTTGTTTGTGATGTTTTAATGTCATAATATAAGGTCAATTTTTATAAAAGTGATATGTAGTTATATACACACACACACACACACATATATACATACACACGCACATATATATATCACATATGTACATACATACATATGTATATATATGTGTATGTGTATGTATATATAGATATAGATATTTCTTTTCTATTCTCATTTAGTAATCCCTAATCATAGATCTAACTTTTCTAAATTTCTATTTACATCTTTCAAATATATTTACTATCCCCTCTTATACCCACATTTATGTTAAGGTCACTAAGTATTAAAGTAAATGTTGATTTAATTTGGGGAATTAACAGATTTTCTTTATCTCTTTATCCTCTGCAATATATGCTAGTGTGCAAGTTAAATTATTTTTGTACTGGTCTTAAAATACTTTTCATGAAAATGACAACGCTGTGTGACCCTGGGCTTAACTTAACCCTGATTGCCTTACCAAAAAGAAAAAAAAAAAGGAAAGAAAGAAAGAAAAAAAGAAAGAAAGAAAACGACAATGATAGATAACGAAAAGTGCCCTGAAAGTATGTTTTTTGTTGTCTTTGAGTGTACAATAAAACCAGCTCTTTTACATAGCTCAACAATAATCTATGGAGCTATCCTTCCACTTAGAAGCAATTTCTTTTTGTTCCTTACAGTGAGAATGTCATGATTTATTTAATTCAATTCCTCTAATAGTGTATCAACAAATATTTATTAAGCCCCTACTGTGTGCAAGGTACTGTACCAGATGCAAGAGATAAAGTGAAACAGTTACTGTACCCCAAGAGTTTACATTCTATCAGGGGAAATAGAGAGGTATACAGAAAACGTATGTAAATACAGGGTATTCTGGAGAAAGAAGGGCATTAGCAGCTGGGGAGAAGAATAAAGGCTTCACATAGAAGATGGTACTTGAGCTGAGTCTTGAAGGAAGAAAGGGATTCTACAAAGGAGCAGAAAATATAGACTGAAACAGGAGATCATGGACAAAATTCCAGCCAGACGTGGCTAGTGTCTATGCCCTTTACAAGACATCCCATCCTCCCCTGGTGTTCTTTGCACAGGCTGTTCCCATCTCTTCTTCCTCACCTTTAAGTTTCTCACTGCATTTAAGGCTGAGCTCAAGTACGGTGCCCTAAGAAAAAGGGTTTCCTGATCCACCTGGCTGTTGGCAGCACTACTGACTGCCCCAATCTGAAACCAAGAACCAGCCCTCTAGTAATTCATATATTTTCCCAAAGGAAATAAAAGTAGAGTTGATGGTAAGAAAGAAAGCTCATATGACAGTTTATCTTAGCTCTACAAAAATGAAAAAAAAAAATCAGTACAGCTGATCTTTATTGACCTTTAAAAAAGAAAAAGCAGATTTATCAGACTAGGATTTTTAAGAGTAATAGGCAATATGCTGCTTAGACATATGTCATAATTATTGGCAGAAATTTCAGGATCAGGGATATCCAATTAAACCAGTAGAAATTATGACTACAACAGTTCTCTAAATAATTTATCTTTCTAGATGACTGAATAGATCTGCTAATATACAGTTTATTGTTGTACATAACAACAGGAGGTACATATTTAGCAGTATCTGGGGATGAAAGAAAAGATTCAAGGACAAATGTATTTTTTTCCTGGTCTTAACACGTACACATCCAGTGAATGTGTACATAAGAAAGCAAATCTTTTTCCTTTAACTATAGCTGAAGGTACATTAAATCTCATGTGCTTTGATTTTTTTTCTATCTCCTTTTAAAGTCAGGCATACAGACAGCTGAAGGGCTCAGTAGGAGAAATTATTAAAGCATGTCTGCCCATGAAAAAAGATCAGTCATTTTTCTGATTTCCTGTGTTGGGTGAGTATTTTCCTTCTTTTGCAGTGCATAATAAAGTTTCATAAACTTGAACTACCTCTTTTAACAATCTGAATTAAAAAAAAAAATCTCTGAAGAATCTAATCATAATCTCTTCACATGGTAAAAATAAAAGAGAAGAACAATGAAATAAAACAACTCCTTACATTCAGAAACAGCATGTTACAAATCTATCTCTGAATTTTGGTGCAATGATATTCCCTGCCTCTGCTGAGTAATTATGCATAAACCCGAAAATTATACTCTGCACTGTTAGAGTAGGAGGATTGGGTTGTGTTGCAGATGGAAAAGTCACACAGTGCTTTTGATGATCCCAAATCACCACAAAAGACAAATCCTTAATACAAATATATCTCCCAGAGATGCTATATTGCTAGATATTATGGAACACCCATAATCTCAGAAAAACAGAAATTACAAATAACCTAAGAAGCAACGGAAATAAACATGCTGGGAGTAAGTAGATTGCAAGAAATCAATCATGACAAGCTCATACAATTAAAAAAAATATCAGTAAGGATAGTTTTATAAGGAAAGAACGTAAGTCAGCTGCATACCAATAATGAAACAAGTGGTAGGAAACTTTAATGGCATACCAGCATCCTACTCCCTCAATTCTAAAGTAATAAGAGGAAATTTCTTGGGGCATGGTTGAATGTTTTGTGGATGATATACGGAAAGGTATAGATAAGAATTTCCTATGATGAGAGGTTAAAATCTGTACCAGTGGAGGGATTCACTGATGAAAACACTGTATTCACTAAATCATCAAAATTAGACTTGTACACAAAACATACCTTCTTAAACAATGGAAATCAGACCATTCCATTCAACACCTCTTTATTTTTCCATGTTAGCCAACTCTAACTACTAGAAAACTCTTAACATGAATTATTTCCATTTCCTTCTTAATACTACTGGTTTCTTAATCCCAAATTTCACACATAAATCTTTCATATTCTTTATGTTTTAGTGTACTAGCAATGAACCCTGATGTTAATGCAGATGATGACTCCTTAAAGATTATAGGAGGGATTCATAATCTTTTTGAAAGCATAGCATTGCTAACAAATAAGTAGTTAAAAACTCTCTTCTCTCTACATTTGAGTCCATGAAGATTTTTTTCCCCCATTGGTGAACCTATTCTACAAGTTAACTGGGAAGGTGCTTGATTTATTTTGAAAGCCTCGAAATATAGGTACATGGGTACTAGGTTAACACAGGATGATATTCCTATCCTAGGGCAGCAAAAAGTCTGCTACCCTCTGAGTTCTCACCTAGATAAGAAAGGATGCATAGTTCAAGAATAGGATGGATTCTTTTGTGCACACACACCAAAAAGGAGGACAAGAGAGAATTGTAATAGCAAGTGAGTTAGGAAACACATTTCCCAATATTTACAGTAACTGAGTGAAACCTGGCAAACACATTTTAAGCTATAACTTGGAGAAGAATGATAATTCATTCCAACTTCGCAACTAGGTCACAAGATGGTGAAGAGGATAGCATACTGGGTCTGGAGTGAGGAAGACCTGAGTTTAACTCTGCCCTCAAACACTTACTATGTGACACCAGACAAGTTACTTAAGTTTCCTCATCTGTAAAATGGGGATAATAATAATACCTACTTCCCAGGATTGTTTTTAGGATAAAATGAGAACATATGCATAGGGCTTTGCAAACCTTAAAGCGTTATATATATGCTAGCTACTATTATTACTGTTGCTGTTGTTGTCACTATCACAACAACTATCACTATCACTTACCTATGGTACAATTTGTGGTTATTTTTCTCCGCTTCGGATTATGTCGAAGCAATTCTAGCTCCCGTTTGGTTGGCTCCCAAGTTGAATACTTCTCTCCAATGCCTGAAAAGATAAAAGAGAGTTTCAGGGATCACTAGGTAAGTTTCAACAAGGATGTATTCAACTAAAGGACATGATACAGCGTCCAGTAAGCTGAATTTAATGTATGTAGCCCTATAATTTCTATTCTCTCTGTGTTATGTCTTACTTCATCCTCCCATTTTTTTAAACATAACTATTTTCAGTAGAGATAACAACAGACTTTGACATTAACTAAAAGGAATGATGAAGTAAAAAAAAAATTTCAAATAGTTCCTAAGAAGTGGTTATACCTATACACAGAGGAGGAAAAAGAAGTTCTAAATTAAACCTATTCCAGTATCAATGCTATTCTGATCTTGTTTGTTTGTCAAGAATCACCAAGACTTTGGGGGATTCAGAAACATCATGGCACTAACACAGTTAGATTCCTCAAGATCATCTATAGATGGCAGAAATATAAGTAAGTTTGGATTAAAACTTCTTCACTAATGGATTAAAACCAAAGAATACTTTTGAAAAAGTTTAAATGGATCCAATTTACTGGACAGCTGAATCCTACAAAAGATGCAATGCAAAACTAACAATAACTAAAAAGCAAACAAAAGTGAATTCAATACACATCTTATTCAGAAATGAGAACTGCCTATATGTTGGAAAGTGCCTAAAATTTCAATATGGTTCAACTACAGGATTACAGCATCACATCAGTAGATGAACGCATTAGAATATAATAAAAAGTCTGTCTTCTGCGGATATGCATTTTGTAGAATCACTGAATTTAAAGATTTTTATTTATTTTTACACAAAGCAATATATTCTCATTTAGTTGCAATTATGTTATAGACATTTTTCTGAGGAATGGAAGAACAGGAAGTTGTTGAAGTCAGAGAGAACAAAAACCAAGAGGGCAAACAGCAAACATGACAGGTTAATGCGTACAGAATTTGTGCTTCCACTATAATTTGAAACAGAAAAACCATAGCAACAATGAAGACCTGAGAACTGACCAACTAAAGTGCTGCTGCAGTATTCTATGCAGGGAAAAAAAAAAAAAGGAATTGCTATGCAACACCAGTGATAGTGAGTTACAAAAGCATGTTGGCATTAAGAGACAGGCAATTTATTTCAAAACTAAGGATTAAAGTCCATTAGAGTTCAGTATATTCTATGCAGAATGCATATCACTGAAACTACAGTGCAGGAAATAAATTATAAATCACACAAGAAGAAAAGAAAAGGTGCAGAAAATATTGCTGAAGGCTTACACACATTCTGCATAGTACAAGTTAATTTCGGAGAAGTCTTTGATCTTCATTTTCAGAAATGGCCATGACTGATAGCAAGTTAACCCAACCAAAATCTGAGTCATGCCCACCTTGCTTCCCCTCAACCTTGTCACCATTCCCTCAAAAGGATTTGCATAGAAGCATGAGATTTATCCATATTCATAATCTGCCATGGTACAAGCTTGCAAAGATATGCCTCTCTTTTGGTTTTATTTTACTTTTATCAATTGAATATATTTTGATACCAAGCATGAGAGAAAATGAAAATTCACTATCTGTCCTAATTTTTTCTCCCACCTGCCCAACTATACTTCACAAAACATCTGATTCATTTGTGCCTATACTAGTTTCTACATGCATAAAGCAGTGTGAAAAGAGTATTACTGAGGGGGAAAAGTCAGAGCCCCTGTAGAAGGCAATACAAATTTGCTATAAGTTTTCCCAACAAGTTGCTTGACTAACTATGTTAGATGAGTTAGAAGAACCAGTTGCTAAACTTAAGTTTATATTTAGTTGTTTTTATGTTTTTGTTTTTGGTTAAACCACAGCATACTGGTTAACTAAGGTCATTCAGTAAAAAGTAATATTTTTAGATATACTGGTGTCTTTTATCCTATTATAATGGATGGAAATATCTGAATACTCTTATTAAACATAAACCAGAGTAAATCATACAACTGCTTTATACATCATGAAGGAAGAGGAGGATTTTGCTTTTTAAGTAATTAAAAATTTGCCAAAATAAACAGAGAGCAAGATAAACACCCAAAAGTGACACAGGCACAATGCTTTCCTTCAAGGTTCTTTTTCATCACTTAAAGCAATCAACTTTTAAAAATCAATTCAGAGCTTAGAACAGTAGAGAAGCGCGGGGGGGGGGGGGGGGGACCTGTCTTGCCCCCCCCCAAATCATTTTGAATTTTTCCATGGTTCAAAGACAGAAGACCTTTAGTTTTCTCCCCTCATCACAAAAAGCACTTGAGTAATAATAATTTCCACCAATAGTCACACTGAACATTTTAAGATAAAAATAGCAAATGTGATGAAAAATGGACTCAGAAATAAAATAAGGACAAAAATAATTTCTCTAACAATCTCTTGCAAACATAGACTAGCACTTAGGCAAGATGACCTTTTAAATGAAAACTTAATAAACTTGCCTAAAAAATATTCGTGCAAGCATAGTACATGACCATCCATAAACTACACATTTTTAACTAGAGTTGAGCAATTTCAAGTGGGACAAGAGCAAGGCTAATTACAGGACAAAGATTCAACTTCACGAGTAAGCATACCTGCACCAAAACATTATTTACACTTTATTTGGAATACAAAAACAGATGTTATTTTCTAAGTTTGCATCTTCTGTTCCCTGACTTTGTCCCATTTCCCTATGAACTTGATGTATTGTTTAATATAACGAGAATGATAGACTGGGTATCTGAATCGACCAATTCTAATTTGTGTGAGGGGTAGAAATAATATTTGTTTGACTCATCTTCCTTGATGCCCTCTCAAAGGTGAAAACCATTTAATAGCTTTGTAATGCTTTTAATTTAACACTTTAAATTTAAGAGCATCTAATGGAATTTAATTTGTGATTTTATTGAGCAGTTACTCTGTGGCTTAATGTTAGTCAAATTTTAATTGTTACATTCTATTTGTTACTTGTGAAGTGGCACAAGTAACACAGATGAGCACAGATACAAGAGGATATGGAAATGAGCATAAGAAATTTATTTATGGTAATCTTTTTATACAAAAAGTAACAACATACTGCAACTAAAAGTTAACATCCTGGGTCCCAATGTCTGCCCTGTTCAACATTTTGCTTTAGCACCAAATCATACTATTCCAAAAAAGGACTAAAAATAAAAATAATCTATAATTATCAGTAGCCATTCCTCTAAGCAGGGATTCTACCTTTTTGTATGTCATGGATCCCTTTGGCAGCCTAGGGAAACTTATGAACTCCTTATGAATATAATGTTTTTAAATGCATAAAATAAAATATATAAGATTACAAAGGAAACCAATTATATTGAAATACAGTTTATGTTTGTATCGAAATACAAGTTCATGGACCCCAGTTAAGAACCCCTGCTCTAAAAGGAAAGATGCAACTGTGGTTCTTGGGTCTGTGATGGATAACAAACAGTTTTATTTGAAGAATCAAGAAAGGCAGCCTAATTCTCAGTTGATTATCCATTAGACAATCATCAACCTGCACTGAAAGAGGTTTTTCAGCACAGCAGTTCCTTGAAAATGGTTGTTGACTTTGGCCTTGCCCATGAAAACAAAGCAAATTATTAAAATGCCTTCTGTAGCAGCCTAGCTCAAACAGAGGCTCTTTAGTCCAAGTTTGCTGAGAAGGACAGCTGGATGATTAACTAGCATAGATTTCAGATTCATTAAATGTTTGATGTTTGTTTTTCCCCAAAACTGTCACCACAAAATTTTCCCTAGTAAAGGGGACATGAAAGTCAATTGTGTGACACTGCAATTAATTCTGAGCAATTGTTTTCCTGTTATAGTTAACTCCTAGGCCCATGACTTTTAAAACAGGAACATTTAGAAAGTGAGCAGAGACTAGATGCAAGGCATGAAGTTCTGTCCTAGGCAAATGCAGGAAAGCCCTCTGAGGAGGAAAAGAATGTTATCCTAACAGTTCCATGTTCAAAAATCTGGCATCATCTTACTCCTGCTACAGATTGAACTGCTCTAAAATCTACCAAAAGGGATACAAGAATAAACAGATTTTTTTATTGGAGACTTAGCTTGGAGACTTTATTAGAGACTCAAGTTAGCCTAGATTTCCTCAATTCACCATGAGTTCTCTAATACTTGGCGGGTGTTCCTGTGCTTATGATATTAGAAAATGAAAAGTAACATTGGACAGAGAAAAGGTATAAATGGGAAATGACTTTTTCTGTAGGTAATTTAGACTTAAAAAATACTAAACAAGCTTCTACATTTAAAGAAAACAAATGCTACATAAATGTGTTTGTTGTCACTGTGGCACTCATTAGAAGGGGAAGCACCATAAGCTTGGTGGACAGAAGACTGACCCAGCTTCTCCTTTGTGCCACCTCCAGGCTCGCTGAGAAAACTCTTGGCTCCAAAGGATTTTTACTACCTATAACAAGTGGCCTTCGACCTCAGGAAGATGCAGTAAAAAAAGATTCCAGTTCTTAAGAACAACTCCTCTTAAGTGAAAATATTTTACTACCATCTCAAACCTGCAAGTCTATTTAGAATAATAAGAATCTCTGGATCTATTCACAGAGTGCCCCGCTATTTTGAAGCTGTATATAAGTCTCAGAAGAGGATCCTATTAGGGACTTCCATACCACCCCCCCACCCCCCCCAAAAAACTGGTCTAACACATAGGAAAGAAAACATGGCCATTCATTTTTTAACTGATCAGTCTTGGTCATCATTGGCCAGTGTTCTCATAATTAGCAACAGTACTGGTATCACTGACTACGTCATTTAATTACATAAGGCAGTAACCAATTCAATTTCACTAAAGAATTGGACAAAATGGTAATTCACCAGTCCAAAGTTATTCAGGTTTTCTATTTTTGTGAATTTCCAGAAAATACCTATTCTACTATAGCACTGAATACAGACCAAAAGCTGGTAATTCAATTTCTTTAAGAAAAAAAAAATCAATCACTGAAATCTCAAAATGAGTTTTGAAGAGCATTAAAAAAACCTAGCTAAACAAACATACTTTAGCATCAGTGATAGCACCTGTTTTCAATCTCATATTCCCTAAAGAGGACTGTTTAGGAGCAGTTCAATCATGACAGGGATTTGTCATCTTATTATTTATGTATGTATTCCTAAAATCTCTTTTTGCAAAAAAGACAACAAACTGCTACTCTGAATTTGATTTCTTAACCATCATATTTGCCTAAAAATGGCAGGATAATTCCCCAAAGGGACACTCATTAGTTAAGTGTGTCATCAGCCCGTGCCTCTTACCTGTCATTGTACACTGGTAGTGAGAAACCACTGTTGGGGTGAAGGCTAAAAAAGAAAAATTAGGGAAAGCAAACTGAATAATAAAACAAATGTGTGCATAGATATTTTTGTGTGTAAATATAACTCTACAAATACATAATATAGACATGGTTTGTGAATAAAGAAAAGGAAAGTGACAGCAAGTGAGTAATCTCTGTGTATGTGTGTGTGTAGGCACAACAGATAAAAATCAGACACATATAAAGAAGGCATATCACGTGAGGGGAACAGACTCATTACCTAAGGCTTAGTTCTAAAATAGCTAGTAGGTAGATCATTACATTCTCTACCTGATAAAAATTTCACTTTGGTGACATAATTTTAGCTTAATCAAGATACTTATCTAATTTTTTAAAAGCAGTTTTGCTACAATTTTGAGGAGTGCATATTTTAAGCAAACTGTCTAACTTCTTAGAAAGCAATGCTACCCATCCCCCAACTTTCACCACTGTCTCTGGAGATTTCTCTCTTCCCCTTACTGGTTTTTGCCAATGACAGATGTGAGGGACTAGAATGATTAACCAATAAATTAGGCAGATACTTAAGGAAAACCAAACCTTGTAATTTCCAAGCCTTCCGTTGTTCTTCTTTGGCAATTTGTTCCATGTCTTTGTCGTATATGTAATCCTGACACATAAAGCAGTATATACCCCCATACAAAAGGTCTATGGCTGCAATGAGAAAAGAGGGAAGGGGAGGGGGAGGAGAAAGACACAAAATTTAATTAGGAACTGAAAGATAACACGCTCTTTAGTTTTTCACAGGCTAGAAGGTTTATATGTTTGATATTTCTTTTTAGTGTGGCCTAAACCTTAAGTCACAGAAACCTCCTACTAGGGTGTTTTTATTCCATTTCAATACAGGTAGCCCGTGCATATGAGGGTAATTCAATTTATTTCTTTGTCATTACCTGGCTTCTTGCCAATTCAGAGAAGCCAATCTTACAAATACCAAATTCTTGAGAATATTACAGTGCTTTTTGCTTTAACATGAAAATGGTATTTAAAACATGAGCAAAGCCATCATTAACAGCAATGGTGAATACAGATACTTATGGTTAACTGATTTGTACTGAATTTATTAATAATTTCTTGGGATTCTCACTAGTACAGAATAGCCCAAGAATATGATGCCTATTTGTACATACTTTGACTCCGAGAGGAAAAATATTTTAAATTGAAGCCTTGGAAAATCAAATTTGGTTTCTAGTATGGCTTTATTACTGACCTTTAGAGTCAGTACTGAGACCTTTCTGTCTCAGCTTCCTCAAGAACAGATACATTTACCTTACAGGGATCATTAAAAAGAAAAATGATGTAAACAACCTGTTTTGAGCTCAAAATAATGTTAATAGTAAGGCATTAGTGATTTGGCCTTTGAGGTTCCTTATATATTCCTTCATTTGATGCATACTAAATTTAGTTTAAATTGAGTTGCTTTTGGTGGACAACAATCACAAAATTTCCAAATATTTAAAATATAATTTTTTTTATTCAAAAGAAAAAACTTCTTGCAATTACTAAATTTCAATTAGAAAGGAGGAGTAGATAGAATGAGGGCCTCAGAGTTGAGTGGGATCTAGTTCCATTTTTGATATATATACTGGCTGTGTGACCCTGAGTAAGTCATAAGTCTCAAATGCCACAGGTAATTCCATAAGATGGTAAGCTACAGAACAACTTGAGGTTCCTTGTATTAATGAAATCAGACTCAACCAACAAAGGTTTAAGCAATTAGCCAGGAATATTCTCTTCAAACATACACTGTCTAAAACAAAAACATTAAAAATTTTAGAAAAAGTAATCATATTAGAATCAAGCCAAAAGACTATATTTATATAAAGGCAAACATCATTTCCCTAAATTGTTATTATCACTATAAAAATGAATAGGTCTCCACTGCACTGAATTCCTACAGCACCACACAATTTTGTTCTTAACTGTACAATGTCTTGTATTGTTCTCTGTGTCCCACAGGCAAATGCTGCCTGCCCCTTCAAGAAAGAGACCCCTCCCTCAATACTTCTTTCTGTATCAGAGACAGTAATCTTAGAGATGGAACAGAGGTCACCTCTTCCAATCTAAACCTGAAAAGAAATCCTTCCTACAATATCCCCATTAATGATAATCTCGCCTCCAACTGAAGACTTCTAATGAAAAGAGCTCACCATCTAAGGCAACCATTTCACTTCTGAAAGCTCTGTGGGCTAGCTGTGTGACCCTGGGCAAGTCACTTAACCCCATTGCCTAGCCAAAAAAAAAGATAAAAAAAAAATTAAAAAAAAAAGCTCTGTGGGGTGTTTCCTAAATATTTGCTGATTTTTAAAAAGAATAACGTGGAGATCTCATGAAGCATAAGAATAAAAAGCAAGGATTACACCTAACTAAAGATTTTGTATATTTGTCACTTTATTACAGAGATGTCGAATAATGAATCTGTTGCTCAGAAATAAAGAAAAGGAATGTCTGGTTTGAAGCAAAGACACACTAATATTCTGTGATAAACTTTTTCTAACTTCTTTCCAGCTGTTCTTGCTTCAAAGTAAAGTGTTGCCACTTTCATATATGGACATGTTCATACTGAAAGGGGCTAAAAATGGTACTGAGAAAAGCAACTCGAGACAGGTCTGAGGAATTGAGAGGAAACAGTCCTTCAGATAAACATATCAAGAGGATCTGTTTTAAAGCAGCTCAGAAGCAAAAGCACTGAGAAAACATGAGCATGGCTGAACTGCATTACTGTCCACCCAGTTTATTTACATATGAATGTTTTCAGGGTTTTGAAGGCTATAGCTGAGAAACCGTAAATCAAAGGAGTATTTGGGAACTTCAGAAAAACTGTACCTAGATAAAGTATTTGTTAAGAATGGCAGGCACATTGCTAGAGATGCAAATAAAACAGTCCCTTTCCTCAAGAAGCTTACATTCTAATAGAGGACAATAACACATAAAAAGAATTGGGGAAAAAAAAGAAAGAAGGAGTATGGGATAGTATAAAATTGGCTGGAGAATGGTGTGGACTTATAGTTCCAGGAAAATTATGGTGAAAGCTCACCTATCAGAGCCCAATGTCCTGTGAGCAGAGGCCAAGGTTCCAGTTGAGGACAGATGGGAATAATGACCACATATGGCCTGTGTCATATATACAAACTGTAGATCTGGAGATCCTAAATCTGAGTTGGAGATAGGCATTACACAGAAGAAGGCCCTGAATTGAGGCAGATGAAATGACATGATAAAGGAGTCAGAGAAGGGAAGAATGAGAAGACATAACACTCAGCAAAAGAAGGAAGCTGGTAACGGAGACAGACATAGAACAGAGGAGAATCAAAAGATAAAAGCAGCTGTCTCAGACTGAATCAGTTAAAAGAGCTGACTGAAGGCAGAGTCTGCAGCTGCAGGAAGCTCAGTAGAAAAATGAGAATCCTGGTGTGGGAAAAGCTATCTGAGTTTCTCTGTACTGTTCTTCAATGTTATCCACACAGTTTAAGGGCTGAGGACTGGCAATCCCTAAAGCTGATCTGGCATAGATTTTGACCGGGGAAGGAACTTCTAGGAGATGACTGGAAAAAGGAGAAGAGCTGTGTGAAGAGCTGGCTAAGCCCATCTATATATTACTCTTTACTGGTATCTAAGCCCTGGAGTCAGGAAACTTCTGATGGTCTCCACTGCACTGCCCTTTGTGGCCTAAGAAGAAGAAAGCTCCTTGAAGCCCAGGAAGCAAATTTGGGTCACTCTGCAGTTTCCCAGTTTAAGAGAAGTACTTGTCACTGAAAACAACTGCTTAACACCGTTTCTGCACCTGGCCAAGGGCGGCAAGGTTGGAAACCAACACAGTCTTGGCTTAGGGCTACTGTTTCAATGTAAGAATGTAATGCTGCTCTCTACTCTTAGCACTATTCTCTCAGCATGAGAATAGCAAGGAAGTGGTTTTGTCCAGAAAGAGAGAGACTCACAGATTACTTCTGCAAAACCCCCACTAACTTTCAGGCCTTTAGTCCAGTCTTGAGTTGCCCCAGGCACACGCATTTTTCTCTCCTCTTTCATGTCACTTCTAGTGCGTACCCTTTCCTCCTCTTATCCACAAAGACTGTGTACAATGGTGGGAGAACATGCCCCAAGTTTATGAGTGCAATACTGTGACACTTTGATTATTTCTGTTTTTACCTTTTATTGAGTAAATGTCATGATTAAGAGTTAATGGTACCAAAATAATGCTGTACAACGATCAACTGTGAATAACTTAGCTATTCTCTGCAATACCATGATCCAAGACAATTCCAAAGGACTCATGATGGAAAAAATGCTATCCCCACTTCCAGAGAAAGAACTAATAGAGTCTGAATACAGATCGAAGCATACTATTTTTCGCTTTCTGTATTTTTTTTTTTAAATGAATGTTAAAAATTGTCTTTGTATGTAACTGGGAAAAAATAAAATACTATTTTTTAAAAAAGTTAATGGTACCATTGTGACTTGTAGAAATGGGAAAAACAATGGGAGGGGGGGCTCAGAAGTTACATAGTGACAAGTAGTAGGAGTGTTTCCCTCTCACATCAAAGTGAGCTCTACAAAGGACCTTAGATTAATTTGTAGCAGCATGCTTTGACTGTGACTGGGTGTCTTCTGGGAATCTCCCCCTTTGTTCCTTAATGTGTCAGAGTAAGAGAAGGAGCAGTAGGGGCAGGTACCACACCAGATGCCATGCTTATAAACCACCCTACCCACATGAGTTGGTCAGTGTCATGCCCAGGCTACAAGGTAAAGTGGAGATGTTTCCATCTCATGAAACATGTTGATAAAAAGATAAGTGCAGGGTGGGAGAAGGGCTGGCCTTTGCCCCCACCCCAGCAACATGGCAACCATGCCCATGTAACAGCTAGTATGGGGGACTCAATGAGGCGATTTTGCCCCAGGAACCCCGACTGCCTTTGCCTCATTTTGTTTGCTCTTTCCTGATCTTATGTGAAAGAGTATCCATCCTGACATAGATGTGTCCGGTCTTAGAGGTGACCTGGTAAGTTCAAGAGGAATTCTATAAGTCCCATTAGGTCAGACTTCAATTATAACTGGAGAAATCCTTAGCAACTGACTTTGGAAGGGACAGTCATCAACAACAGGACTGTCCGAAGCCTCCCCCTCGCCTCCCTTAAACCCAGAAGACACGTAAGCAGGGGTTGTTTGGACAGTGCAGAGCTTAGGTGAAACATAAAATGCCTAATTATCAGTCCTACAAACTGCATGTCATTCTGATGAAGCTGAAGTATCAGTTTCTGAGCAAATAACAAGTAGTTACAAAATAAGTTACTAAATGCTGCTTTAAATTCTTCAGTTGATGTGCACAGCAAGTTTCATATCTTCAACATTTATTTTGTGTACAGATATTAATTACTTCATAATAAATTATCTCCTACCAGATTCATATTGTATTCAGAATTCTTTTTTACCACTTTTTGGAGAAATCCTAGAAGTGAGCCATAACACATAAGCTATAAGTAAAATTGTCCCTGGGGCAACACATTAAAGGTTTAAGGAGTTGAAGAACATAAGAACTCAAGACACCAAGCTTGCCAAGACAGAACAGAAAGTGAGCCAGCAGCGTCCTCAACAGGAAGACACAGATAAACTTTTAAAGCTATCAATGACTCTCAGAATGAAGAATAACTTCTCTG